TAAAGTCTCCCAGTATAATTGTGTGGGAGTCTAAGTCTCTTTGTAAGTCATTAAGAACTTGCCTTATGTATCTGTGTGCTCCTGTATTGGGTGCGTATATATTTAGAATTGTTAGCTCTCCTTGTTGCATTGATCCTTTTACCATTATGTAATGTCTTTCTTTGTCTCTTTTGATCTTTGTTGGCTTAAAGTGTATTTTATCAGAGAAGAGAATTGCAACTCCTGCTTTTTTTTTGCTCTCCATTTGCTTGGTAAATCTTCCTCCATCCCTTTATTTTGAGCCTTTGTGTATCCTTGCATGTGAGATGGGTTTCCTGGATACAGCACACCGATGGGTTTTGGCTTTTTATACAATTTGCCAGTCTGTGTCTTTTGATTGGGGCATTTAGTCCATTTACATTTAGGAATGGTAGGGTTAATATTGTTATGTGTGAATTTGATACTGCCATTTTGGTGCTAGCTGGCTGTTTTGCCCATTAGTTGATGCAGATTCTTCATTGTGTTTATTCTCATTATCATTTGGCATGTTTTTGGAGTGGCTGGTACTGGTTGTTCCTTTATATGTGTAGAGCCTCTTTCAGGAGCTCTTGTAAAGCAGGCCTGGTGGTGACGAAATCTCTGAGTACTTGCATGTTCACAAAGGGTTTTATTTTTCCATCACTTATGAAGCTTAGTTTGGCTGGATAGGAGATTCTGGGTTGAAAGTTCTTTTCTTTAAGGATGTTAAATATTGGCCCCCACTCTCTTCTGGCTTGTAGGGTTTCTGCTGTGAGTCTGATGGGCTTCCCTTTGTGGGTAACCCGACCTTTCTCTCTGGCTGCCCTTAGTATTTTCTCTTTCATTTCAACCCTGGTGAATCTGACGATTATGTGCCTTGGGGTTACCCTTCTTGAGGAATATCTTTGTGGTGTTCTCTGTATTTCCTGGACTTGAATATTGGCTTGCCTTGCTAGATTGGGGAAGTTTTCCTGGATAATATCCTGAAGAGTATTTTCCAGCTTGGATTCATTCTCTTCGTCGCATTCAGGTATACCTATCAAATGTAGATTAGGTCTTTTCACATAGTCCCACATTTTTTGGAGACTTTGTTCATTCCTTTTTACCCTTTTTTCTCTATTCTTGGCTTCCCATTTTATTTCATTGAGTTGATCTTCGACCTCTGATATCCTTTCTTCTGATTGGTCAATTCGGCTGTTGAAACTTGTGCATGCTTCACGAAGTTCTCGTGTTGTGTTTTTCAGCTCCATCAGTTCACTTATATTCCTTTCTGTTTTGTCTATTCTTGTTAGCATTTTGTCAGATCTTTTTTCAGCGTTCTTAGTTTCTTTGCATTGGGTTAGAACATTTTCTTTTAGTTCACAGAAGTTTCTTACTACCCACCTTCTGAAGTCTGATTCTGTCATTTCATCACACTCGTTCTCCATCCAACCTTGTTCCCTTGCTGGTGAGGAGTTGTGATCCCTTGTAGGAGGAGAGGTGTTCTGGTTTCGGGTGTTTTCATCCTTTTTGCGCTGGTTTTTTCCCATCTTTATGGATTTATTCACCTGTCGACTTTGTAGTTGCTGGCTTTCAGATTGGGTCTCTGAGTGGACGTTCTGTTTGTGGATGATGAGGTTATTTCTGTTTCTTAGTTTTCTTTCTAACAGTCTGGCCCCTCTGCTGTAGGTCTGCTGAGGTCCACTCCAGGCCCTGCTTGCCTGGGGTTCACCTGCAGCAGCTGCTGAACAGTAAGGGTTGCTACCAGTTTTCTTCTTCTGCTATCTTTGTCCTAGAAGGATACCCGCCAAGTGTCAGTCTGATCTCTCCTTTATGAGGTGGCTCTTTGGATATACGGGGGTCGGGGAGCTGCTTGAGGAGACAGTCTGTTTTTTATAGGAGCTCAAATGCTGAGCTGTGAGCTCCGTTGTTCATTCAGAGCTGCCGGGCAGGTACGTTTAGGTTTGCTGCAGCGGAACTCATAAACCGCTTTTTGTTCCCAGGTGCTGTGTCCCAGGGATTTAGGGCTTTATTTATGAGTTTCCGTTGTGCTGCTGTCTTCTTTTTTTTTTCCTTCAGAGCTACCCTGCCCAGCAAGAAGGCAGCCTAGTCACTGTCTGCCTGTAGAGGCTTTGCTGAGCTACTGTGGGCTCCGCCCAGCTGCTGAGTGAACTTCCCTGCAGTCCTGTTTATACGGGTGTAGTTAGAACTGCCTTGGCAAGGGTGGCCGGCCTCTGTGTTGGTGGACTCTCTCTGTAATGGCGGGTTGCCTTGGCAACGGTGGGCTGCCTCAGCAATGGCGGGTTGCCTTGGCAACGGCGGGCTGCCTCAGCAATGGCGGGTTGCCTTGGCAACGGCGGGCTGCCTCAGCATTGGCTGACTACCTCCTTAGTGTTGGAGTGCCTCAGTAATGGCGGATGCCCCTCCCCCACAGAGCTGGACCGTCCCGGGTTCAGCTGCACTTGCTGTGAAACTCTCAATTCTGATTGCTGTTCTTTTGTGGGGGTGGGACCAGCCGAGTCTGATCGCCTGGCTCCCTGCCTCAGAGCCTTTTTTTTTTTTTAAGATGGTGTTCCAGTCGCCTGTTGAAGAGGCGCCAGGATCTGTGTGTTTTCCCGTGCGGCGACTCACTTTGCTGGCTTAAACACGGCACTGAGATTCGTGGCACTTTTTTTTTGCCCTGGAATCTACTGTCCTGGTTCCATGTTTTTAAACAGATGAATGGGCGACTTCCCGTAGCTCCAGTTACCAGCCAAAAGGGCACCCAGACCAGTGTATTTTGTACGGAGAACCGCTGCGCCCAGGCACTGACAAAGCAGCCACGCTGGCCAACACAGCCACGCTGGCTGAAACAGCCGCGCTGCTGACCCGTGGGGCTCCTCCGCCTGGGAATTTCCTAGTCTGTGGGCAATAAAAATGCGGAGTCCACTCACCCTCTGCGCTTTCACTGGGAGCTGCAATCCAGAGCTGTTCCTAAACGGCCATCTTGGATTGATCCCCGATTTATTGTTTTTTAACTTTATTTTTATTTTCATCTTTTTGAGACAGTGTCTCGCCCTGTTGCCCAGGCTTGAGTGCAATAGTGCAATCTTGGCTCGCTGCAACCTCCACCTCCCGGGGTTCAAGTGATTCTCCTGCCTCAGCCTCTGGAGTAGCTGGGATTACAGGTGCATGCTTCCTCACCCAGCCAATTTTTTGTATCTTTAGTAGAGATGAGGTTTCACCATGTTGGCCAGGCTGATCTCTAACTCCTGACCTTGTGATCCACCTCTTTCTGCCTCCCAAAGTGCTGGGACTACAGACGTGAGGCACTGCGCCCAGCCGATTTAGTACTTTATTTTTCCTTAAATTTTATCTTAAAAGATCTAAAAGAACAGGAATTAGGAGAAGAGAGAGGCAGAGGAAAACACAGGAGTGTGGGTGGAGGAAAAGTAGAGGCAAATTGGAACCCAAGATATGCAAATGGAAGAGGAGTTTTAGGACCAGAGTATCCTGACATTTAGTTTTAAGTCACTTGTATTTCTGCAAAGTAAAATCTCCGAGCTTCCCTAAATCTTTGGTAAAGATGCCTGTAAACACAAAGACTCCTCTGAATAGTGGGTTGAGAATAAACTTGTAGTGTAGGAAAGAGGGATATGAGACTAGAGTCTGCCATGGGGAAAGGCCTAAGTAGGGAGAATACTTAGGAGACTTGTAATAATTTAGTTAGGATTTTATAGTGGAAATGAATCGGTTTGGTAACAGGGGAGGCAGAAAGGTAGAGTCAGTTTTGGGTTTTATTTTAAAGATAAAACCAGTAAGATTTGCTAATACATTTGGAAATGGGATGTGAGATAATTCTTCTTTCACTAATTAAGAAAGACTGAGGTCTGAGGAGCCATAATGATATCATTTACTGGGACAGAAATACTTTTGGAGGGGCAGTTTCAACGTGAAGATCAGTTTTCTTTGGGCCCTATTAATGCAAAATGTTTCTGAGACCTCCTAGTGCAGATGAGCAGAAGGTAATGAGTTACATGCATCTGATGTCCGCAGCAGGAGGTCAGGTGTGTGGAAGTCTTTCACTTTTAGCTGATAATGGAAACCATGGGATTATATCAGCTCACTCAGGGAAAGCACATAGAATGAGAAGGAAATTTAGTACCAACCCACGGGAATATCAGAAATTAAAGCGTAGACAGATGTATTGGGGTTAGTCTTCATGGATCCAGTTGTGTGTGCAATAAAGAAAGGCATAGGGTTGGGCATGGTGGCTCATGCCCGTAATCCTAGCACTTTGGGAGGCCGAGGTGGGTGGATCACAAGGTCAGGAGTTTAAGACCAACCTGGCCAATATGGTGAAACCCCATCTCTACTAAAGATACAGAAAAATTAGCCGGGCATGGTGGCTCATGCCTGTAATTCCAGGTACTTGGGAGGCTGAGCCAGGAGAATCACTTGAACCTGGGAGGTGGAGGTTGCAGTGAGACAAGATTGCACCACTGCACTCCAGCCTGGGCGATGGAGCAAGACTCCGTCTCAAAAAAAAAAATAAATTGACTACACAAAGTTCAGAGGACTTCCAAACTATTCTATACACAGTTTATTCACATCCTGATTCTGATTTAGTTGTTGAAGGAAATAATTAAAATGATAAGTATAGTCAGACTATAGACAACAAGTGTGTGTGTGTGTGTGTGTGTGTGTGTGTATATATGTATAAGTGTATGTATAATTTTTTTACTATGATAATGACAGGAAATTGGCAGCAAATATGACTTTGCTTTCTACTGTGCTTTTTAAAGGCAGTTTTCACTATCAGCATGTAGTTTTATAATCACTGAAAAGTTAATATCAAGATAAATACTTTGGAAAAAATATTGAATTTATTGATTAGTTTTAATACAATCTTTAATGTTATAAATAAAATATTAGTATACTGTATTTTTAAAGTGCTATTTTGCTAATTGAGTCAGAGTTTTTAAATCTGAAATATTATTAAGGATGATGATCACAAATACCTTGAGAATTCTTTTTGTGTCTAGGTTTAGCGACACCAGTAGACTTGAAGCTAAAATTGATACCCATCCTACAGCACATGCACCATGATGCAATCCTGGCTTCCAGTGCTCGTCAGCTTTTACAACAGCTGGTCACATCTTATCCATCCACCAAAATGGTGATTGTTTCTTTGCACACTTTCACTCTGCTTGCAGCTTCATCTTTGGTTGATACACCTAAGCAGGTAATTTCAGTCTTCTTTAAACTGCCTATTACTTGGTAAACTTACATATTAAATATGTGATTAGAAATAAGAAAGTGGCATGTAAGTCTTGAGGACATTAAGGTTCTTTTCTCTAATAAAGGT